GGGGCGGCAGGTGCCCAGCAGAGTAATTAATAACAGAGCCTGGGGGTAAATCATCCCGGTGGGAACCCCGGTCCCGCCTCTCACGTGGGGCACCTTTCTTTAGCATCTCCTGCGCCACCCAGTTCCCCCTGTGAAAACTAGATCTTTCCCATGAAGATTAGATAACGTAACATACAGAAAGCAGCGCAATGTTTGGAATCTAAATGGAATCTGAAAAGAAAACACGTGAGCACAGGTACACATAGCTGACGCGAGAGAATGATTAGGCTCAGGCTCCCATTCCGTTTATTCTTCACTTTTTCTGAGATGAAGAAAAAGCCCCCTGTCGGCGGCGTCTGAGCACGTGCACGCGAGAGCAGCCTTGGCCCCGCGTCCACACCCCTGTCCCCTGTAGGTGACGCCGGGCGTTCCGCGGGGCAGCCCAGCAACGGCTCGGTCACATACGCCTCCGTTCCTCATCTCTGCCGTCAGCGAGTCTTACAGACTCAGGGGGGATGTCCAGGGCTCACCGCAGTTCTGAGGACCGCCAGGGGCAAAGGTCAAGAAAGGGAGAGGCCAGGAATGTGGCCTTGATGGGAAGCCCCCCTCAGCCCTGTCCCAGCACAGGGAAGCGTCAGGGGCTGAGCCTCCGGGCTCTGCGACGTTGTCTTTCCTCTGACCTAAAGGCCCCGGATGGCTTTGGGGAAGGATCGGCATGGGCCTGCCTTCCTTCCGCAGGGTCTGGACATCCGAACAGGAGTTCCCAAGTCACGGGAAGACTAAGAGAGATGGGAAGGACTTAAGAATCTTTGCGAACTCTCACGAAGGTGACTTCTGGGGGAGGCAGTCGAGCCCAGGGGTTAAGAACACAGGCATTTGCATCAGACCAATAGGTTCAAGTACCGGCTCTGCCATTTACTAGCAGCCTGACATCAGGCAAATGGGCCTCTTTGTACCATGATTTCTTCATCCATAAAATGGGTATGCTAATACCACGTGCCTTGTAGGGCTGTTGAAGGAATAAAATGAGCCAGGGTGTGACGGGCCCTGAGTGTGACCGAAAAAGGCCTCCGTGAATGATAGGCGTTCGTCTTTAGCGCCGCCTCGACCCCATCAGCGCCATAGCCCAGGCCAGCCCCAGAGCTTCTCTGCCAGGGGACTCGCAGCCCCTGCCAGTCTCCCTGGCACCGTGCCGACTTACGTGTTGCCAGAAATATATTGTGTTTGCATGCAACAGACCATTAAGGAAGCACCAAGTAACTAGGGCAAATCAATACAGAAGGCAAATCGCCGAGACGCCCGTCAGGTGTTCCCGGTGTTTTTACTGGTGCCGAGGATGCTCAGAAGCTTGGCTTGGGTGTTCGTCTTTATGCTGGTTCTGTTAGATCAGCCGGCAGCCTGGAGGATGCGTGCCCGTTAAGGGAGACCTAGAACAGTCCTGGCTTCAGGCACATCCCCGAGCGTGCCCGGTTCTGCGGTGTTAATGCTGCTTTTGTCTCCACTCTGAGTGTCTGTCGGTGGGAGTGTGGAGTTCTGCGTGCTTGTTCCAGGCGGCGGGACTGGGCGCCGTGTGACAGCCACCGGGGGTGCCTGCTGCACGGAGGCCTGTGAGGGCACACGCGCCAGCCTCACCCCCTTGGTGGAGGGGCCGTCCCGCCGAGGATGAGCGAGGAGGGCGGTTGTGACTGAAAGAATGGAGACGCCCCAGTTCCGAGGGTGCCCAGCACAGCCGGCGATGAAACTGAGTGTGAGTCCCGGCCGTGGCTCTCCCTGGCTCTGCGACTCTGGACAGGTGACCTCCCACCTCTGCGCCTGGTTCCTCGTGTTTAACGTGGGGGCGGCCATAGCGCACAGGATCTGCCTCCTAGAGGTCAAACGTTGTTAGACAAGCCTCGTGCCTCTTCCAAGAACCGGATGCACAGGAGCTCTTACTGCTGTGATTGCTGCTGCTCTGGCCTTTACTTCACGTTTAAAGTCGCTGACAATTCACAGCTACCCACCCCCCGCCCCCAGACACACTCTGACGCCCCCGGGGTGAGGTTAGCGGAGGTCTCGTGGCCTTGGCATCTCCCTGGGGCTGGGTGTCCGGCCAGTGCCCACAGCAGCGCGAGGAGCAGGGAAACAGCAGAGAAAAGACCCTCCCCGGAGTGAGTCTTGAGAGCACAGGACGTGCAGCAGTGTCCCTGCAGGGTTAGCAGGCTCAGGTCGGAATCCTTTGTTCTTTGTTCCAAACGCACACCTTTGCACTCTCGCTGCACACGTTATACCAGATACCTGCTTCTGCAGAGGCCGTGTGACGTCTCAGAAGGGGGGGTTGGGGTCTTAGCCCCTTAGACTTTTCGGTGACTTTGGGAAAGCCGCTTCAGCCTCTGGGCCTCAGTTTCCCCTTTCTGTCACGGCAGGGTGATCGGTGGGTAGGTGCAGAGCTGGCGGTTCTGCCACCCGCCAGCTCTGTCGCTCCGGACAGACTGTTTGTTCCCTCCAGGTTTTATTTCCTTCATTCACAAAATGGGGCCGCTTGCCTCAGAAGTGCCGGGGTGGGAAGAGACAATGGACATAAATCAACGCGACTCCATAAATAACAGCCCCTCCTGAGCTGGGTTAAATCGCCAGGTGATCAACCCCCGGGGGACAGGCATCCCTCCTGCTCTCTGACTCATCCCTCCCTCAGCCTCACACCTTCCCCAAAGTGGAGGTTAACTGGTTAGGAGCCCAGGGACAGCCAGCTGCCCTCACGCCCAGCGCTCACCTGACCGGCACGGGCTCTGGGCCCGCAGCCAGGGGCAGTGGGTCCTCTGGCAAAGCTGAGGGGGGTGCCGTCGCTAACAGGCAGTGGCTGCCTCCAGAGGCGTCATCCCGCCGAGGTCCCTCGCCACAGTGGCAGGTGAATCACAGGATTCCTGGAGAGCATTTTCCACCTGACTGGCGGCCCCAGAGACCCACAGAGCGGCTGCCTCTGCCGAGAAATCCCTGCTGAACTCTGCTTATCTGGAAAACACGAGTGTCCTTGGAACTTCTCGGTCAAGCCGACTGCCCAAGTCTGCCGCCCGGCTGGGCGGCTGCATCCAGCACCCTGTGGCTCACCGGGAGCCAGCCAGGTCCCCGTCCAGCCAGCCTGCGCCCACGTGCCCAGCAGCGCACGCTCCCCGCCCCCTCCGGCGGGCCAGAGGCTTTCTCGGCAGACCGTGGCGGTCTCCCCGGTCAGGCCCTTCATCCTGCAGCCGAGAGAATGATCTGTCCCGATGCTCCCCCTCTCCTCCTCCCCTTGCTCCCCGGCTCCCCCTCCCCCGGCCTGGCGAGTGATTTGTCTGTGTTATGGGCTGGCCTGACAAACCCTTCCACATTAGCAGCTGAGATGTTGTTTGAAATGGGAAAATTGCTGGCAAACTGCTCCATTAGCCGTCCCAGTAACAAATACGCCGTTGCGCCGATGAAGACGCGATCGCAGAGGCACAAATTAATACTACTGTCTCCCCCACCCCGCAGCGGGGATTACTCTTCCAGACGAATAGGTTCATCCCAGCCAGGAACACGCCGCCACGGGACAGGACGCGGCCTCGGCGGGAGCCGGTTCCTCCCGTTGCTTCCTCCTGCTCCCCCGCCACGTCCCTCCCCACGCACACCCTTTTTGTGTGTCTTCCCAGCTGAGGGTTTGGGGAGCATCCGTGCCCAGTAAGGAGGTGATGAAACGATCCGCACCTTGGAGACAAGGGAGATGGATGAGGGGGGGATGCTGAGTCCCCAGCCTGGGCGGGGGCATCATTCATCACCTCTAATAGAGAGCCTGCCTCCCGCCCAGGCCTCTTCCCCGCCGCACCTGTTCCTGGTGACAGGAAGTCATTTGAGAGACGAAAGAATGAAGAATGGAAGTGCTTGCTCGCTCCCTGTGGCCCCTTCTCTTCCACAGAAGCTCTGGGCCCCGGGCCTGCAGCAGCTCTTGTCTTCTCAGAGTAACAGGAGAGGAAGCATTTCAGGAGAGCCAGCAAGATGTTAAAGCCCTAGATCGAGCAGCAGCCCAGGGTCTGAGTGGTCCGGTGGGGTCCCCGGGGCCTTCAGGATGTCAGGAAGCCAGTCTGATGGACGTCAGGCTGGGGGCTAAAGATGGGGGGGCTCTTTCCCCACTGTATTGGAACAGCCCCAGAGATAAATGTCGAGTCATTATGCCGTACACCTGAAACTAATATAATGTCGTGTGTCAATTACTCCTCAAAACAAAAAAGAAGCCCTGGCCTGTTTTGCTCAGTGGTTAGAGCATCAGCCCGCGGACTGAAGGATCCCAGGTTCGATTCCGGTCAAGGGCATGTACCTCGGTTGCAGGCTCGATCCCCAGCCCCAGTCGGGGCGCATGCAGGAGGCAACCAATCGATGTGTCTCTCTCCCATCAATGTTTCTCTCTCTCGCCCTCTCTCTCCCTTCCACTTCTCTGAAAAGCAACGGAAAAAATATCCTCAGATGAGAGTTAAAAAAAAAAATTAAATAAGAAAAAGGGAAAGCAAAGCCCAGACACAAAGCCAGTGGCGTTGCCGCGCCTGCCGGTGCGGGGCCCCAGCAGCAGTGTGGCCGAGCCTGACCCGAGCAGGAACAGGCCTCCGTGTAAACATCGCCGCCCGCGGCCCACCCCTCTTCTCTGTCCCTTGACGTTTCCAGCACTCTCTTCAGTTACTTCCCGTAGCTTTTCCGAAGGAGCTGGCTGCTTCCTAAGCCCGCTTACAATAAGGAGGACCGGGACCCTCAAGGAGAGCTCACCTCTCTCTTCCAGCTCCTCCGGGGGAGCTGGACCCTGGGCAGGGTGCTCCGTGCATCAGATCAGGAGCCTCTGGCTTGTACGCGGTGTTTCCTGGCCTCCTTCACGCAGAACGTGTGCCGCAGGGTGCAAGAGGCCGTCCCGCCCTCCAGGCCCTCAGCAACCACCGGGTGATGGGCGGGTGGTTAACTGACTCTCTCTGCTCTGTTTCCCAGACGCCTGGAGCAGAACTCCATCAAGTCCATCCCGGCCGGAGCCTTCACCCCGTACAAGAAGCTGAAGCGAATGTGAGTTCCCCCCGGGAGAAGCGAGCCCACGTGTGTTCGGTCTGGGGGTAGCATGTCATGTGTGGTGGGCGGCCTGCTCAGTCACAGGCTGGCTGTACGGCATTCCTCCGGATCATACGCCTCTGGGCCGGTTCAGTGTCGGACCTGGAATGTTCTCCTAAGTGGGGGGTACGGTCAGAGGTGTTGCATTCAGACAGCAAGGTGTAAGGGCTTTGACACCCATACACCTGGTGGGACAGGTAAGGGCCTCTCCAGCTGAAGCAAGTGAAATGGTCTGGGCGGGAGGTGGGGCTCCGTTGGCCTGAAACCCCCCATATCACCTTTTCTATCGCTCCCTGGCTTTGGAGACGTGGCCCTGTGGTGGGAGCTTCAGTGGAGAGGTGACAGTGGCCTGTTATTCTGTAGCACTGTCACCAGCATTGCTAAACCACGCGCAGTCATTCAGCAAACACTTTGAGAACGTCCGCTGTGTATAAAGAGCTGTGCTAGGGTCTGTGGACAGCCCGGTGAACTAAGATAAAGTCGCTGTCAAGGAGCTTACATATCTGAGCGGGAGAACACAGAAATTAACTTGACGAGCCCTAGAAATTGCTAAGCACTAGAAAGTAACACAGGGAGGGGAGGGGATGGGGAGTGATGGTGGGTGGGCTTCAGGAAGGTTCGCCCGTGAAGGCCTCTGTGTGCAGGTGACCTGAGTAAAGGAAGTGAGTCATGACAAGCTCGGAGGGAAGGACATGTGAAGGCCGTGGGCAGTGTGCATGGGTGTCCGTGCATGGGTGTTCATGCATGGGGACTGTGCATGGGTGTTTGTGAGTGAGGAGTGTGAGTGGGGAACGTGCATGCATGGGTGTGTGTGCAAGGGGAGTGTGCATGGGGGTATGTGCGAGGGGAATGTGCATGGGTGTGTGTGCATGGGTGTGTGTGCATGGGGAGTGTGCATGGGGGGGTGCAGGG